ACGAGAGTACAAGATGCCGCTTTGTCTCACGTTCATCGACTTGAAGAAAGGCCTTCGACTCTGTGGAGACAGAAGCCTTGGGCAACCAGGGCGTCCCTACTCAGTACATAAGAATTCTTCGTGAGCTGACCAGAATCTCACCATTCTACAAGGAGGTCATCATCGACGTCAAGAGAGGGGTTCGACAGGGCGACACCATCTCGCCCAAACTCTTCAGCGCCGCTCTCGAGAACGTCATGCGTCAACTGGAATGGGAAGACATGGGAGTGAAGGTCGACGGCCGGCAACTACACCACCTTCGTTTTGCTGACGACATCGTTCTTATAACGCCGAACATCGAGCAAGCGGAGCGAATGCTGGCTGATTTCGACTGCGCCTGTGGTAAGGTCGGTCTACAGCTGAACCTAACGAAGACGATGTTTATGAGAAACCAGTTTTGCTCCGCCCGCTATCGCGCGCATCACACGGCAGGCTTTAGCGAAACTGGAGGACCCATGGAATATCAGCATGAGGTACTCCATTAACCACCTCACTATTGAATGTGTTAGACCTTTCCCAGTTTCGCTGAAGTCCATCGAGAATACGCGTGATAACGTCTGGAGCTGAACTGGCATATTTATCTCACAACTGTAAACATCCAGCATTCTTCTTGAATTCAGATAATTTAGCGGTGAATAGGATTGCTGTCAGTCTCAAAATGAAAATGAAATATGCCTATTTACATAAGTGAGGAGCTAAGGCTTATCATTTATTTACATTCACCATTATTTAGAACCCCGAAAGGATTAGCGGTTTAATGAGTTTGGGCTTTCTTGATAGAAATGAAAGTTATCATTTGCTGAAGACTTGATTGAGTTTATGCAATCGACTGCTATTAAGTAAGCTGGTCATACAATGATACAATGTGCACGTACCACTACAAATAGAATTTGTAAGTAGGGACGCTCTAGTATCAGCGCAAGCTACGCAAGCTGCGTTCTGACGCGCCTTATCAGCCTTTATCAGTTGTAACCACTTTCCATCACCCACCAACAATGTCCCCGTCCCACCCCACATGAACACTTGCGAGTATGGACGCTCTAGTGTCAACGCAAGCTGCGTAACGGAATCGACGACTTTTGCGTTCTGATCAGTTGCAACACTTTCAATCACCCACCAACAATGTCCCCGTCCCACCCCACATGACACTTGCGAGTATGGACGCTCTAGTGTCAACGCGAGCTGCGTAACGGAATCGACGACTTTTGCGTTCTGACGCATCTTATCAGCCCTTATCAGTTGCTATCGCTTCCAATCATGTACCACCAATGTCCCGGGACCGCCCCACATAACACTTGTAAGTATAGACGCTCTAGTACCAATATGAACGACAAAACGAAATTGGCGATGCTCGCTTTCTAGCCCCTCTTATCAGCTATTATCAGTCGTTATCAGTTCCTATCACGTACCACTTGTGTCCCCATCCCACCCCCTATAACATATGTAAGAACCATGGCGCTATCATTGCTGTGACCCGAGCTACGAATTTCGTGACAAACAGACACACACACACACATACACACGCACAGACATACTTAGCGAATTATATATAGTAGGATGAATTTATTAATGATGCCCCATTCACGCTCAACGGAACGAACATCACCGAATGCTCCAGCTACGTGTACCTAGGTCGGGAAATCAATATGATGAACGATCTAGCTCCAGAGCTGAGCAGGGAGGAAACGAGCGGCTTGGGGAGCGTTTAAGAACATCGAGGGAGTAGTGAAGAAGACGAAGAACATCCGGCTCCGTGCCCACCTCTTCGATTCCGCTGTCCTTCCTGCCCTAACCTACGCCTCAGAGACTTGGACTCTGCGCAGGCAGGACGAGCATGCGGTCAGCGTTATCCAACGCGCTGTCGAGAACGATCCTGGGAGTCACCCTATATGTCGTGACTTCCGCACAACTTTAAAGGGACGCGCCTGGTAGGGTGCGCGCGGGTCTCAGTGCGCTCGTCCGATCGAAGGTTCGGGAAGGGGACAGAGAAGCAGATTTCACGTCAGTCTTCGCGTCGATCTCGCCGAGTCTGGTCGTTGCGCTCTTCGCTCTTCCGTCGTAGTCCTGCTGTTCGTCGTACGTCGCCGTTTGGTATCCATGTGTCTGGTCGATGGAGTCATGAAGGAGGACGGGCATGGATGCCCGAGATGGACCGCAGGACCGCTACCACGTCTCCCCCCGTAAGGAATGAGCACTGGGTTCGACCCGTGAGTTCGTAGGTCGTGGTTTTCATTTCGTAGAAGTGTTTATCATTCTTTTCATAGTATTTGCTCATAATAGAATTCATATGAATCTATGGTTTCATTTGTGTGTTTTTCATCAAGTCATTAAACGGTGGATTCACCGTTTCATATGAATTCTATTACGAGCAAATACTATGAAACGAATGATGAACACTTCTACGAAATGTAAACATACTTGTTTGGCATGGCGTAGGTCAATGGGTTCGGGTAACCAGCGGTAACCATAGGGGCTGCTAGGGCCTTTGGTGTATTACCCCCGCGTGGACAGTGGCGAGAGCGGGCGCAGCGTAAGTCCCCGATCGTACCCTCACGCCGACATGAACGCCGCTCCTAAGCAGGGTGAACCCCGATGCTTCTGAGCTTATGCGAGGAGCAAGGCGTCCATGCCGGCGCGACACCTATACACGCAAGTGCAGAGGGGAATCCGGAGTTCCGAACTACGCCAACGATCGAAGATCAGGGACGCTGCCGTTTTCGCCAAGGATAAGGTGGGCCGGACACGTCATGCGATTTTGCGATGACCGTTGGACCAGAGCGGTTACCGACTGGATCCCTCGGGACGTCAAACGAACACCTGGACGACCGCCGGCCCGATGGTCAGACTTCTTCACGAAAGCTCTGAACGAAAGGAATGAAGGACTTCGTGTCCCTCGAGCGAGGAGGATCCACTGGACCACTCTAGCACGCGACAGGGACGAATGGAGCATTGTTGATGCCCGCTCAACGGGACGACAGGTGATACAGGTGATGTGATATCTCCCTTCTTTCAGGCATCGAATCACACAACTTCCCAGAAGGAGAGGCGGTAGAATTTTCCGCTCATTTGCTGAGGCATTTCTCAACAACTAACGCCGTCATTCACTTTCCATTTGCGTGAATCTTACGCAGTAATATGCCCCATATATTCTCGATATGATTCAGGTGCGGACTACATCCCAGCCATGAGAGTTACGGGATTGGTTTTGAATCGCAAGTTGGATCGAGTAATTCTTAAAGTGTGGATCGAAGCGTTCTCTTGGATCAAGACGAAGTGCTTGTAGGGATTTCTAGATGAGTGGTACCAATGTGTTATTGAGGAGGGACTGGTAGTCCTAGTTTTTCGTTTACAAGAAGTAAGCTGATTTCGAAGAGACATCGCTACAGAATATCTCCCAAGTAGGGGAAGCCACAGAAGTTCTTGCGACACATCATTAGTGGGTCTTTTTATAAAACGTATGAGTGATTTTCATCTGACCCATCTCCACGGGACATGTTCTCATCAAAAAAAAACTTACCTCAGGAAATACAACGACGAAGAATTTGGATTTCATGTCGAGCTGAAAAACTCCTTCATTGGAACGAAAAAACCGGGTTGTACAAACCTGGTTTCTCCCATGTTCTATATCTTCATTTTACCATTTACATTTCCTCGACTTCAGAGCTTGTTCAACTTATAGATGAGACGTTCAACTTTGGCAACATCTTCAGCTCACCCAACACTTGCAAGGAATAAAAAGGAGTACCGATAATCTTATCCTACTTATCTCCATTGTAGTGACGATTTCCTTTATTGTCTCATTATTGTACCCATCACTATTTACGTGGTGCGATACTAGCGAAAAGCAAGATTTATTTGCAACGCATCATGTTATCAGCAATATTTTAGTATGTAAACAATTAAAAGGTTAAGAAGGCTAGCGCGTAATAGTGCTATCACAGATATTTACAAGTCGTTATTAACAGATACTATTGAAGGACGCTAGTTTAAAGGGTAAACAATGTAAGCATATCTAATGACTTCACTTTTCTACCACCGTCAAAGTATCACAATTCCGGAGCCACATTATAATCATGGAGCACCAATTTATGCGAGACACCGTAATGAATAATGAATCTCCAAAACACAAAAATAACGAACTTTGGCAATGTCGAAGACTATTTGAAAAAAGGAGAACTTGAACAAGAAAAATAGCTTCTTGTTAGATATGAACTAGAATAACATCTCCTGCATGTATCGAAGTCGTTCTGAAAGTAAAACAGAAATCTTACAGGTTCTGAGAGATGCTTTGCGAAATCCTACAAGACACAGTGATAGATTGCCAAAACCGAAATACGGAGCATTCTTGAACGTCGCGACATACTACAAACATAGTAAGAACCAGCAAATTAGAAATATTCTCCCATATACGACACAATTCGTTTTTGAACTGCAGCAACAAAGCGGAGTGAACGTTGAAGGCCAATACTGTTTCGCGCCCTTACATATCTTCCGTATTTGCGCAATTTTTCATTGGTCAGACAGTTCTCGTTGAAGTCTTTCCGTTGAGCGATGGTGCGCTCATTTCGCTTGTTGTTTGACAATATTTCAACTTCCACCCCATCAACCGAGAATCTAAGAAGCTAAGAAGGCATCAGCTAAGAACATTCATTCTTCCCTCCGCAAAATGAAAAAATACACCCTATCGCCAGACTTTATGCGACCTCACCTTGGTCAGATCACACATGGCAAGGACTTCGTCGAGACAAACGACAGCACTAGCTCGATGTGGAATCCACCGGATAAATAGCCAAGGATATCGTAGAGCACCGGAATGAGCTAAAAATTTCAGTACCGCTTTGCATACCATTCCTCTTTTGCCTCTCACAAATATACACATTAGCAAACAGCGCAAAACCTTGCTCACCTGATCCATGTTCTGTTTGTACAACAACTGTTCCTCTTCCATACCAAACCATGGTGAAACATCGTATTCTACCGTGTCAGCGCTGACACCAACACGAACTGATATGCTCCTGAAAAAGTTATTTGCAATGATCGCTTTCAAAGGATCTTCACAAGCCAAGACGAGCGAAGTATGCCAAACCGAACTAGGAACCAAACTGTGAAGAATGTTCAAGGTAACTCACATTATACCCATGTTGATAAGCATTGTCAGATAGGGTTCGAGCATACCAGTACATTCTCGAGCTAACATTTCCGCAATGCTGTAAACCTCTATTGGTCTTCCAATTGGATAAAAATCTACAAGTTACCTGAACACTTTAGGTTCGTCATCTGGAGCGAGACGGCCATCTTTGAGATTGTAAACGTGCGAAAGCCGCACACCATAATCAGAAACACTGTTTACTTGCAAAACCGACGAGATTGCCCTTTCCAAAGATAGTCCGTATTGAAATTTGTTCTGAAAGCCAAGAAGTTGTAATGGATTCCACCATTTATCCTCCTAACTAACAGCTTCAGTTCTCACCGCTAAAGTTTGCCCATCAATGGGTGACACCGGCCCAAAGGGAGAAGGTGGACCAGCGCCGTCTGTCCAGCGAACAACAAAATGGGTGCCAGAAGCATCCGAGGTGGTCCAGTTCTTTAATAGAATAATAAGTCGTGTGAATTGGCAACACGTTTATAAACTATGTGTTGGGATGATGAACGAATCTAACACCACATGCGATTTTCTTCTAAAATTTTGAATATTTATAATTTCTTTTGCCTATAAATTACAAAACAATGAAGTCGAAAAAAGCTGTAGTGCCGCAAGACTTATGCAGCAACCTCACATCAAAAATCGATCAACACTTTTTTTTCAAATTACTTACCTCTGTGGCATTGAGTGCCTGGAGCAAGCTCTCCAACCTTTCTGATGGAATACGAATAGCCACACCATCTTCCACAACGGAAATCTAAATGGAAAGCATAGATTCAAGCGAGGCTTATTCTCAGAAATAAGCCCTCATCCTACCTGTAGCCCATTTGTTTTCAGACCACCGTCAATGATTAAGAATGAAGCACCAGTAGCTGTAACAATAGTGTGAACGATTCATTTGCGATTGGTTGTCAGAGGAGTGCAACTCACCTTTCCTAGAAGATCCTCGGGCCAAAACTTGAGTGGAGTACACACCGTCCGTCTCGTCACAAACCAGATGACTATCAGCTGTTAAATTTGTGCTTGTTGACCAGGCGAGCATTTTGCAATTGAATGAGACGATTTCTTCCAACTTAAAAGAAAAGTACTCATTTGTAGCGACGAGCGTTAACTACTACAAAGATGAATGTTCGAATGAAGAAGAAAGGAAAGAAAAACAGTAATCATAATTCTACATTCCATAACAGCTCATTTAGCATTTCTATTGCGTATATTGTGCAACGTGAAAAAGCTCTACCCATCAGCGCTGATATGAGGCTTTCTTAGTTATTAACATCGACCTCCAAGACACCGCGAACCTCAAATTAGGAGTCTCAAAAGAGCATTCGTTAGAAACCAAACCCCACGATTTCTGAGTTGGAAGTGTAAAGATACTTACGTCGTCTTTGGCAGACTTTGGAATCTCAACAAGGGTAACGTCATTACTTAGCGTAACGGTGCTGCCGGCCAGATGCTTCATTCGGAAAGACCAGCTTCTGAAGTCAGTGAATACCTGGAAGAATTCACTTTCTTCACAGTACTACGAAACGCTGACAGCATAATCGTCATACTAACTTTAAGAACTGTTTGAGATGTTTCTGTCGAATACACAGCTTGCCTTCCCACAATATTAACGAATGGAGTAGGATACCCTGGAAAAAAGTTCCTTTCGCAGTGCAGCGTGATAACAAGAACTCAGTGCTCTATTCCTATTTCTTGTTTTTAGGACGAAACATAAGAAGCACTAACAACTGTATTTGAGTCCTAATCGGAACAGCAAACGATTCGGACAAGCCATTGCCCACGGTACTTCGGCATCATTGAGAAACAACGCAACAAGAAACGGTGAGTTGGGTAAACTAAGACTTGAGAAATCCTGCAAGCAATGTGTAAATGCGCAACAGATTTATGCTTCCTCGCAAACCCTACCTGCAACGTCGGATGAAAAAATAGAATATGTCGTGATAAAGGAGGCACTGCAATTGGAACTGAATGAATAGAAGGAAGACGGCTGCACACCTGACGTACGCCGGCCTGGTCGGCATCACAGGAAGTAGAGAAAATCTGAAACAATATGACATGCAAACAAGGATCTGAGATGATTCGTCAAGACTTACAACTCACCTGGGCTATTCGGTGCAAAACATTCAAGGGCAGAGAAAAATCGTTAGGGTTCTCTCTCTTCCAAACAAAAAGTACTTCATCTAAGCCAATTGTAGCGAAGCCACAGGAGTGCACGCAGAAAACACTCATTGAGTTCACTGCAATACTGGCAAATCATCATAAAGAAAATAAATTCAATTGCACAAAAAAAGAACGAATTGAGCATCACAAAAAAGAGATTGAAAGTACGAATAAAAACATACCTTTACATATCTTCACCACGCAGGACAAATTTTTCTTCAGTACCACCGTTACTGGGAACTCTTCTTTTAACCGATTATTCACCCATTCTTCTTCAACCGTATTCATTTCACCATTTGGGCATACAACCAGAAGCTGAGACCTTGTGCCGTTCGGAAGAGCGCAGCCCAACTCATCTTCCAGCCGCAATTCTGCCACACGTCGTGCAACAGCATGACGTTTCCTGCTTCTCTGTAAACGTTAGTTCTCATTCATCTTTCAATCCACATATTGGTTTGTTCGGAGAGTTTCCGCCGATTTTGGCCCTAAAATTTAAAAGTGCATCTCAGTTGCAACAAACATTTTTGATCTAGAAAAAAAATACTACAATTCCTATACATTTGCATAAAAGAAGAGGGTTTAATAGAACGGATGTTGAAGGGTTGAAGTGCTGTAGGCAGAGAACTTGGGGAAGGTCAGAAAAGTGGCAGTTGGTAGGCAGGAGGTCTACTATTTAAGATGTTCGTAGTACAGTTTTGTAGCTCAGCTAATTCAACATGTGCACGGTTGAACAGCGAAATGGGGTTACGCAACTATGGAAAAAAGAGTCGGCGGCGTCGATTTGTCGACTTCATCGGAAATTTTTGTACAACAGTATATTTGGGAACCCCATCTCCATCACCCCTGATCAAGCAGCCGCCAGTTCAACAGTTCTAAGCAGACTGGCTTGATCAAAACCCCCTTCTGGACGCCCCACCTCACTAACGTGGCATCTGAGTCTAGGAGTGCAGCGAACATGCGACCTCGTTTTCAAATCAAAGCTGATTGACGAATTTTCGTTATTAAAGACAGCGCTTGAGTGTTCGGCAGAAGGAGCTAATCTGTTAAAGCTCAGGTGTCTTTCATCGATGCTTATCGTAACAATGTCCACAGAAAACACTCCAACCCCATAACCAGTAGAGAACTCCGGATCGCGATGATAGGAGAATAAAGCCAGATAGGAAGCTTTTGTATAGGAAGAACACATCAATGCAGTAAATGATACTGTCGTTGAGCAGTGTATTGTTAATGCTGCTGGCTTTGCTGGAAAGTCATGGCTTTGGATGTCTAAATATAATCACTGCCGCCTACCATATGCTTGCAATAAATTTCACCCATTAGGTTTCTACAATTTGAAAACAACAGTTCCAACACATTCCACCAAAATAATAATGTTTGAAGTTAAAAGACAGTGCAGAAAAATGGATGTAAAAGATACCTTCTTAGGTTTCACGGCACTACTCTTTTCTTCTGTAGAAAGATCCACCTCCCCAGACGGTGATGAAGCGCCAGGTTTAACCCCATCTCTGAAAACATATGGAAATATTACTAAAGTGTAAAAAATATTCTATGTATCATATGCTGTCGATGAAAAAGGCAAATTTATTTGATTCAAGAAAAGACTTCAAGTGCCGACCGAAAAACAACACATCGTTTTTTCTCAGAAGAGTCCGAAGGTTGAGAGGTTTCGGCCTCAGAATCACCAAGACTTGTCGTCCGCGTTTTCAGCACGCCACGCGATACACGGCTGCCAGCTGACGTCGATGTCGATGCAGGGGTTTCATCCGAAATGGTTCTGCAACGTTCAAAATATTTCATCAAATCTTCAGCCCACAGTTTGGCCTACCCTGGAGCAACAACAGACTTGACCGCGCCTTTTGCATTGCTACGTATCACATGAAATTTTTTCAAATTATCCATCTGCTTTCTTTTTCTCGAAAAAGTAGAAAGTCCTTCATCATCATTCCGGAGCTGCTCTTCATTTTTGCAACAGAGTTATGCTTCCGTCACATCTTTATCACTTTATTAGCTGCTTGGCAGAACTGTTCAACTTCGTGAACTTTTTCTTTCGCTTTCAAAAAGGGAACCAATAAAGTAGCACCAGGAAAACGAAAACATCCTCGAAGAAATAAAGGTCAACTCACACATCGGCGTGCTCCCTCATCATTTTCTCGTAGTCCTCAATACGTGCCAGCATCGTTGCACATGGGGTACATACGCGAGCCTGAGCCTGCTGAATAGCAAAAAATTATATGCACACATTTTTATGCTTTCAACAAGACAGACTGCTGCATACATAACATTCTATATCTACTCAGGTGCAATTCGAAAAGTGGTTCTTTTTTTTTCTTTTTCAGACTACCACATTAATTTTTTTAAGACTGATTTTGCAGTGCCTTTCCAAGAATGACAAAAATGGCACTAGCGCATTACATGGAACGGTTAAGATTGCACTAGTACAGATTTTCACACGAATAAGCACCTTTTTCGGATCATCCTTCATATATTCGAGCGTAGCTTTCTCCTTGCAGCATGATCCGCACGCGACACGTCCACAAGCGCGACAGTGATGACGACGATTGAGTAATGAAAATCTCGAGTTGCACAACATACACATTGAGCAGTCGTCATCCGGTATCCAATAGGGCTTTGACTAGAAGACTTGGTTTGAAAAAAAAAGGAAATTTTCGGACAGCTGTTAGAGCCAGCAAGCAAATGGAACTGTTGCATTACAAAACTTTACTGTAGCTGCGGTTTTACAAAATAACAAAGACAGTTATGAAAACAAGTATGAGGGTTGAGTCGAGATTATCTGCAAAGCACAATACCTTTCCAAGCTGCAGCTCGCTCTCAGTAAGCCTCGTTGGATCGGTGTCCTGCGACAAATCATGAATCGTAGAGATCACCTGGTTGAAATGCATAAGCGCGAAAAATTTGAGTTAAAACATGCAAAAATGAAAAGAAAGAGAAGGAAAAGCAATGATGAAGGCACGTTTCTAAAATATGAGGACCCAACCTGGGCTCCAAAGCGGTCACGTGGTCCGATGGGGGAAGGACAGTCATCTTCCTGAAATTGTAATATGTATTGCTTGGATATCGAAAATTTCAAGTTTTATAAATGGCAGAATTGCATTCTAATCGACCCAATTATAAGTTCTTTAGAGAACACTTGATACTTCATCCAAGACCTAGGACGATTGAGCCTTCCCAAGAAAAAAGAATAAATACTGCTGACAGAATAAAAAATTCAAGAAAGAAACAAACGAAATCTCACCTTGGCTTCGCACTCAATGGCTGTTTCCAACCCATGTGTACTTTCTTCCGATCCAGCCCTTTCTGAGCGAATTCCCTCCGAAGAATCATTTTCAAGACTGCTCTCCTCTTGCGTATGGTCGCTAAATTTAGAATCTCCAAATAATGCGATCAAGTAGAGTGAGTACCCAGAGCGGACCGCCACCAAGTAAGAAAAACGCTGGAATAACAAGGAAAAAATAGACCACCCAGTCATAGGATATGGTGGGAAAATGAGAACAAATTTTTGGAAAAGATTACATGAGGTTAACTTTCGACTCACTGACATATAAAGATGTAACATGAAGAAAAAAAAATCAAAAAAAAAATCGAACCTCAGATGGTCAGATTTCTGAGTTATATCCTCTACGAGTTTATCGCCTGTGGAGATTTCTTCTTGATCAGCATTAATGAGCGCGGAAGGATCACTTTCAATGACATCGTGTTCATGAGATTCTCCTCTTGGCAATTCCACTGAAGGAAAGTCGTCCTTCACTTGTCCTTGATCATGTTTTGGGGACAGCTCAAGAGACATGAAGTTTTCCGGAATCTGTTGCCTCTCTTGCGCTTCAGCTTGGATATTTGTGTGAGCGCATGCAGTTTTAAAATGCATTCGTTGCATTTTATCTTCGGTCACTTTGCCTATCTTGCATGGTTGATCTTCATCCTTTTGAGTATGTTCTTCTTCTAATGCTCGAGTCTGTTGTTCACTACTTTCAGTAGCTGGTCTGTGTATTACGGTTACAAATGATGCGCTATCTGTACTACCAGAAGCAACGCTTTCCTTTGAGGATGCATGCAAAGGAGCTCCTTCATCCCCCTGAACATCAGCGACGCAGGAATCTTGGACCGCTTGCTTATCACTAGAGCAGTTCCCGCGTACCACTATGGTTTCGAGAGAATTCGCCACATCTTCACTGTTCCTGTTCCAGTCAGTCTTCGATATTTCAGATTTTTGGTTTCTTGAAGAAATTCCATCAATGTTAGCTTCGACTTCGTCCAAAATGGCATCAACAACAGCTTCAACAACACCAACCGCTATTCGCTGATACTCGTCATCTAAACCATAAAAGAGTATTAACTTTAGCGTTGTCTTTAGTGTGAAAGATAACAGTGTGCTCTTTTGAATTTAATCGATAAAGTATTACAAACCTGAGTCCTGCGTTTTTTCTGCAATCCCTAAAGATGATTTACGCAAACCGCCATTTTGAGCGGACTCCACCTTAATTTCGCTGCACGTAATTGTTTCCTCTTCCTTGGGAACGCCTAAAAAAGGTTCATAGAGAAAAGAAGGAATAATTCATCGAAAACTACCTATACCAGCAGAAGTAGAGCACCCTTGCATTTCTTGAACGTTAGCTGAGGTAATAGAAACAGCATTTGCATCCTCGTCATCTATAAAGTAAAACAATGATTTCTGAACACCGTACTTAAAATTTACATAAGTTAGCTGGCTCTAAGAAGAACAAGAACGGAGCCCGGTCAAAGAAGTCCAGTCAAGATCAATCTCTGCTTATGGTGCGACACTCAACCTACTTCCATATAAAGTGGTAGTGGTATTGAGTTTAGGTGAATGACTCGTCGAAGCTAGCTGATGTATAAATCACTTTTTAACCCTCAGACCAAAAATAAAATATGGGTTTACGGCAGCAGTACATGTGAGGCCTAACTGGCTAGGATGATCTTCGAATTAAGATTTGATTCACGTAGGAATGTTTCCAGAGAATGTTTGACACCAACTCTCCTCTGTCCTTCGTGAGCTTGACCCATATACTAACAGCTTGCACAGACCACCGCATTTTATAAAACTTGAATTAACTTTTACAGAAGAGTTTCATGATTGTAAGCAAGAACCACTCCAATATGCTGCAGCTCCAAATACTCTAGTACGGGACACAAAACAGCGCATCTTCAGCTTTTTAGCATCTATACAAATCTCTGAAGCAGAAAGTCACATGCCTTTACACTTCAAATCCGGCTCTTCACTTTTTACTGTGATTAATCTAGTAGTTGAGACAGACAAGGGAGAAAGAAGTGAAAAATGAAGGGCTGTCTCAAGCACCGTGCAAATGCATACCTCCTCTATTATAAGCCGTACGCAACGTTCAGTAGGAAAACTGAACATAGATCCGGTAAAGTGCGCATAAAGGGGAAAAGTAACGCGAAAAGAGCGGAATGATTAGTAGTAAATCTTTATAAAAATGTAAAAGATGAAGGAGAAGCATACCTACAACATTGGAGCTTTTATCCTCGAACTGATTCAAATATTGAAGAACCTCCTCGAATTCGGTGTCGCCATCAGAATCGCAGACGTGCACTTCATCGTCAATGTCGGACTAGAAACAAATTTCTTCAGACGAAGTGAAGCGTTGGACTTATCGAAGTCTGAAACTGTAGGAACTTACTTTCCCATGAGACTGACTGTCTTCTAAATGTGTACTTGGTGTAGGAAGTGTTCGATCGCACACGCCAGAGACGTTCTGCGAAATGGTAAATCATTTTCAACACATCACATGAAAACGATTAAAGGAAAATGGACAAGATCAGCTGGTACTTACCAATCCACCATCAGAAACTAGCGCAACAGAATCTGTTGTTGAGTGCTCACCCAACGAAGCTAGTACAGGATCTGGTGGCTTCAACTCGATCCTAATAGTTTCCTAGAAAGCTAGAGCTAAAATTATGTTGTAATAAACACTGTCAAGTTCTGACATTAGCTCGTTTCGACTATCAATTTACACGAGAAAAAGCGCCGTGTTAATAAACAATGAGGGGCTTGTGGTGCTACAGCAAGGCTGCACCATTTCTGGCAATTATAACCGAACAAAAGTTCAAAAAAAATTTACCCCAACTTTGAAACAGTCTTGGAATACACCTCGAACACCTCAGGCCACGTTCACAGTTCGCGAGTTGTGACCATTTCGATTGGAATCGTGGGGAGTGGTAAACGCGAGGCGCCTTTAGACGACCAATCATTTCAGTGCACTATCCATTCCTAATCTCCTACCGTACTACTGTGCTACAATCCTAATCTCGTAATCTACCACTTTCTAGCAAGTACGATATGTACCAACTCTTTCCAGCAAAAACCTACTACCCTAGCTTCCTACTGCCGCGTTCATAGATCGTACTAGGGACTTTAGGACAATACGCGGCAGTGAAAAAGGTAGGTACTGACAGGGTGATAAAGATAGTAGTAAATTAGGATAGTAGGAGACGAGGATGGTACGCTGCCAATTAGCAGCCGCCGTCGATTAGATACGTATTGATCGAACTATATTCGTTTGACAACAATTGTGCGAAAAAAAAATTGGGCGCAATGTGGCTCGGGGGGGGGGGCACCACGGAACATCGCGTCATGATCATGGAAAAGCTCGACGCGACATTTGCACAGAGTGCAGATACGCTCACAGATCCATTTGGGAATGGATTCAATTATGTCCTTTATGCTATGTTGATTTACAGCCGAGCTATGCTTCTGCGTTCATAAAAACTGCATGCTTTGCTTTGAGCAGCCATTTTCGATTGGATATCATTTGACTTCTGCTCTACTACCGTACTTTATTTTGAAGACTGGGGACAAACTCCATTCCAACTCAATTCGTCAATAAAAAGTCAGCTCAAGGGTAAGGGCCGGAGCGGTAACACCTATAACTACTCCTTTGGAAAAAATTCAGATTTATCTACGAATTTGCTTACGATCATGAATAAAAAACGATTATAGGATCATGAATAATACAACTGTTCAGCAAGAACTAGCATAAGTACTATGGGCGATCATGGACAAAAAGTGCCAAGACTTGTTGGGTAACGCTCCGAAACTTCTCCGGCAGTCAACTACCGGCAAGTGATGGTGAATCAATCATGTAAAAAAATTCTCGACTACTCGTCAAAAGAAAGCAAAAGGCTTTGTGGGAGCGTTTTCATGCAATCGGATATTAAAAAACGCACTCAGTAGATCTGAAACGCAAATTCGAGACTAACATTCAGGGTCGCATGTAAAGGCACTCATCGCATTCAAGTGCCATGCCGACCTGAGGTAAGGGAACTCGCTAGCAACGTGAACGACGTCAACATCTGTCCCACTGCTCCCTTTTGCACAACACATTTTACAGTCACTGGGACAGGATAACACCATCTTTCTAGCTTTCAGAAAGCGAAAACACCAGCAGAGCTTCCTCCCAGAAACAGTGGTAAACACATAGGAATTCACAGAAGAGAAATTAAAAAGATATAAAAATCAGGGGTTCCCTCCAGTAAGGGAGAGGGGCATGCGGTGCGACATTTGCTAGAGAAATTCCAATTTCGCAGGAGGGAAACCCGCAGAGAGCGTGAATCATGTCGTTTCCGCTCCTACACTCACTCCGCAGCTTCCCTCCCTTGCGAAAAAAAACTGGATTACTATGGGTGATATGAACTGTCGCACCACATCCCCGCCTTGCTGGATACCCAAAATCAATTCAGCTCCACAAACCTTCTCAGACAATTTTCGGAGATGGATGGGAAGCTCAATTACCACGGCTTGGTTGGCGTTATTTTCCGGAATCTTCGATTCCTTTCGTCTGTTCCCAACCACTGCCTCTTCAAGTTCATCTAGCAAAGCATCCATATCGGGCACTGTCTCCATTCTGACGATCTGCAATGCTGCATGAGAAACTAGAAAAGTATAGAAGCTTCTCTTTCACTCGCAAAAGAGTAAATAAATTGTGAGAGTCTCGAAATAGGCAGCTCTCTTTCCAATTAATAATCCAAATAGAATTTACGACAATAAAAAAATCGACAATAAAATAAAACAATAAAATAACAATAAATTAACAATAAAATGGACAGGGTTTCGCACATTCAGAAAAATAGAGTTATTGAGAAGTACAGCGGGAATGACTCATCATCCATCGAACATCGAACCCACCTCTCTTAATAGAGTGAGCGAGCTATACAATCTTTAAG